TGTGTGTTGTGCGTTGTGCGTTGTGCGTTGTGTGTTGTGTGTTGCGTTGTATGTTGTGTGTTGTGTTGTGTGTTGTGTGCTGTGCGTTGTGTGTTGTGGGTCGTGCGTGGTGTGTTGTGTGTTGTGCGTTGTGTGGTGTGTGTTGTGAGTTGTGAGTTGTGTGTTGTGTGTTATGTGTTGCGTGGTGTGCGTTATGTGTTCTGTGTTGTGTGTTGTGTCTTGCGTAATGCGCCTTGCGCGCTGCGTGTTGCGCGCTGCGCGTCGCGTGCTGCGCGTTGCGTGTGGAGCGCGGTGCGTGCTGTGTGGTGCGTGGTGTGTGGCGCGTGGTGCGTGGCGTGTGGCGCGTGGTGTGTGGTGCGTGGTGTGCGGCGCGTGGTACGCGGTGCGTCGCGCGTCGCGCGTCGTGCGTCGCGCGTCGCGCGTCGCGCGTCGTGAGTCGTGCGTCGTGCGTCGTGCGTCGCGCGTTGCGCGTTGTGTGTTGTGCGGTGTGTGTCGCGCGTCGCGCGTCGCGTCGCGCGTCGCGCGTCGTGCGTCGCGCGTCGCGTGTCGTGCGCGTCGTGCGTCGCGCGTCGTGTGTCGTGCGTCGCGCGTCGCGCGTCGCGTGTCGCGCGTCGCGTGTCGCGCGTCGTGCGTCGCGCGTCGTGCGTCGTGCGTCGTGTGTCGTGTGTCGCGTGTCGTGCGGCGTGCGTCGTGTGTCGTGCGTCGTGTGTCGTGTGTCGTGTGTCGTGTGACGTGTGTCGTGCGTCGTGCGTCGTGCGTCGTGCGTCGTGCGTCGTGTGTCGTGCGTCATGTACCGCGTGTCCCGTGCCGTGCGTCGTGCGTCGTGCGTCGTGCGCCGTGCGTCGTGTGTCGCGCGTCGCGGGGGTGCGCGCGTGCTCTCGCGCGCGCGCGTGGGCGTGCGCGCGCGTGCGCGCGTGCGCGTGCGCGTGCGCGCGTGCGTGCACGCGCGCGCGTGCGTGTGCGTGTGCGTGTGCGTGTGCGTGTGCGCGAGCGCGTGCGCGTGCGCGTGCGTGTGCGCGTGCGTGTGCGCGTGCGTGTGCGCGCGTGTGCGCGTGCGTGTGCGTGCGCGAGTCCGCGCTTCGCGCAAGTGTGCGCGTGCGTGCGCGCGTGTTTGGCGTTCGCGCGTGAGTGCGCGTGCGCGTGCCGGTGCGCGTGCGTGCGCGTGTGCGCGTGCTGCGTGAGCGTGTGCGAGTGCGTGTGCTCGTGCGTGCGCGTGTGCGTGTGCGTGGTGCGCGCGCGCGAACGTGTGCGTGTGCGTGTGCGTGTGCGCGTGCGCGTGCGTGTGTGCGTGCGTTGCGCGTGTGCGTGTGCGTGTGCGTTGCGTCCTGCGTGCTCGCGTGCGTGTGCGCGCGTGTGCGCGTGCGAGTGCGCGCGCGCAAGTGCGTGTCCGCGTGCGTTGCGTGCGTGTACGTGTGCGAGTGCGATGCGCGCGCGCGCGCGTTCGCGCGCGCGTGCGCGTGCGCGCGCGCGATGCGCGTGCGCAGTGCCGTGTGCGCGTGCGCGTGCGCGTGCGCGTGCGCGTCGCGTGCGCGCGCGCGAGCGGCGTGCCGCGTGCGTCGTGTGAGTGTGCGTGTGCGTGCGTGCGTGCGTGTGTATGTGCGCGTGCGCGCGTGCGTGAGTGCGTGCGTGGGTGGGTGGGTGGGTGGGTGGGCGTGGGCGTGTGTGGGTGTGTGTGCGCGCGTGTGTGCGTGCGTGTGTGCGTGCGTGTGCGTGCGTGTGCGTGAGTGTGCGTGTGCGTGTGCGTGTGCGTGCGTGCGTGCGTGTGTGTGTATGTGTGTGCGTGTGTGTGTGTGTGTGCGTGTATGTGTGCGTGCGTGTGTGCGCGCGCGTTTGCGCGCGTGCGTGGGTGGGCGGGTGGGGCGTAGCACAATGGGTGAAGGATTACAAAATGCAAGGCCATGAAACGCGCGAGGAGGGGTTGCCAAAATGGGCGCGGTGAGCGCATGCGAACGCAGCCACTGGCGCCAAGGACGGAGTTCGCAATGGGGCCACGAAGACTGCGCGGGGCACGCCAAAATCTGCGCGGCGGGCACGCGCGAACGAAACAACTGGGGCCAGGACGGCGAGGTCTCGCTCAGGCCCGCGCGGTGCCGCACCTCGCTGGACCCACGAATAGCCGTAACAAATGGCGACGGTTTCGCAGATCGCAGCCACTGGCGCCAACGATGGAGCTCGCAATGGGGCCACGAAGCGCGCGCGGGGCGCGCCAAAACCTGCGCGGCGGGCACGCGCGAACGAAACAACTGGGGCCGGGGCGGCGAGGTCTCGCTCAGGCCCGCGCGGTGCCTCACTCCGTAGGGCCCACCAGCAGCCCTCCAAAATGGCGACAGTTTCCCAGATCGCAGCCCCCCAAGGACGGCGAGGTCTCGTTCCGGCCCGCGCGGTGCCTCGCTCCGCTGGACCCGCCGGCAGTCTTCGAACGCAGCGACAATTCGCAGATCGCGGCCCCCCAAGGACGGGGGGGTCTCGCTCAGGTCCGCGCGGTGCCTCACTCCGTTGGACCCACCCGCAGCCCTCGAAAGTGGCGACACTCTCGCAGATCGCAGCGTTCAGGTCCGCGCGGCGCCTCACCCCGCTGGACCCACCAGCAGTCTTCGAACGCAGCGACAATTTCGCAGACCGCAGCCCACCAGGGACGGCGAGGTCTCGCTCAGGTCCGCGCGGTGCCCCGCTCCGCTGGGCCCGCCTGCGGCCCTCGAAAGAGGCGACACCTTCGCAGATCACAGCGCTCAGGTCCGCGCGGTTCCTCACTCCGCTGGACCCACCCGCAGCCCTCGAAAGTAGCGACGGTTTCGCAGGTCGCAGCCCCCCCAGGCAAGGCAAGAGTAGACAATAAGGAGGGGGGCGGGAGACGGGAGGCGGGAGGAGGAGGAGGAGGAGGAGGACGCGACCGCAGTGCTCTATTCAAAAGGAATACCCAACCAAGGAGGGTTGGGAAATGAGCAAAAAAATCGAAACGTCGTCCCCGGATTATTCCCAACCCTCCTTGGTTGGGTATTCGTTTTGAATAAAGCAGTGTGGTTTCCACTCCTCCCTTCCTCCCCCTTCCCCCCCTGCCTCTTCTTGTCTTGCCTGCGGGGGGCTGCGACCTGTGAAACTGTCGCCATTTTCGCGGCCTGCTGGGAGGCCCGACGCAGTGAGGGCGACGCGCAGATTCAAATGAGACCTCGCCATCCCTGGGGGGCTGCGATCTGTGAAACAATCGCCATGTTCGATGCCTGCTGGGGGGCCCAGTGCAGTGAAGGCCACGGGCAAATTCAAATGAGACCTCGCCATCCCTGGGGGGGGGGGGGGGGGGGGCGACCTGTGAAACTGTCGCCATTTTCGAGGCCTGCTTGGGGGCGCAGCACAGTGAGGGCGACGCGCAGATTCCAATTAGACCTCGCCATCCCTGGGGGGGCTGCCACCTGTGAAACTGTCGCCATTTTCGAAGCCTGCTGGGGGGGCCCAGCACAGTGAGGGCGACGCGCAAATGTAAATTAGACCTCGCCGTCCCTGGGGGGCTGCGACCTGTGAAACTGTCGCCATGTTCGAAGCGCGCTGGGGGGGCCAGCACAGCGAAGGCGACGCGAAGATTCAAACTAAACCTCGCCATCCCTGGGGGGGCTGCGACCTGCGAAATTGTCGCCGTTTTCGAGGCCTGCTGGGGGGCTCAGCGCAGCGAGGGCGACGCGCAGATTCAAACTAGACATCGCCATCCCTGGGGGGCTGCGATTTGTGAAACTGTCGCCACTTTCGAGGCCTGCTGGGGGGGCCAGCGCAGTGAGGACCACGGGCGTATTCAAACGAGACCTCGCCATCCCTGGGGGGCTGCGATCTGTGAAACTGTCGCCATTTTCGAGGCCTGCTGGGGAACCCAGCACAGTGACGCCACGGGCAGATTCAAATGAGACCTCGCCATCCCTGGGGGGGGGGGGGGCTGCGATCTGTGAAACTGTCGCCATGTTCGAGGCCTGCTGGGAGGGCCAGCACAGTGACGCCACGGGCAGATTCAAATGAAACCTCGCCATCCCTGGGGGGGGGTGCGATCTGTGAAACTGTCGTCATTTTCGAAGCCTGCTGGGGGGCCCTGCGCAGTGAGGGCGACGCGCAGATTCCAATTAGACCTCGCCACCCCTGGGGAAGTGCGACCTGTGAAACTGTCGCCACTTTCGAAGCCTGCTGGGGGGCCCAGCACAGTGACGCCACGGGCATATTCAAATGAGACCTCGCCATCCCTGGGGGGGTGCGATCTGTGAAACTGTCGTCATTTTCGAAGCCTGCTGGGGGGCTCAGCACAGTGAGGGCGACGCGCAGATTCAAATTAGACCTCGCCATCTCTGGGGGGGCTGCGATCTGTGAAACTGTCGCCACTTTCGAGGCCTGCTGGGGGGGCCAGCACAGTGACGACACGGGCATATTCAAACGAGACCTCGCCATCCCTTGGGGGCTGCGATCTGTGAAACTGTCGCCACTTTCGAGGCAGGCTGGGGGGCCCAGCGCAGTGACGCCACGGGCAGATTCAAATGAGACCTCGCCATCCCCTGGAGGCTGCGACCTGTGAAACTGTCGCCACTTTCGAGGCCTGCTGGGGGGCCCAGCACAATGACGCCACGCCCGGACCCAAATTAGACCTCGCCATCCCTGCGGGGCTGCGATATGTGAAACTCTCGCCACTTTCGAGACCTGCTGCGATCCTTTTTTCGAAGTGGCTAGGAGTGCTCAGGAATTGTAACCCATCAGCTTTATCAACACCTTTTCCTGTAGCCAGTGTCCTGCGAGTCCCCCGAATTCCGTCTGCAGACATATGTAACCCTCGCTCCGTCATCGCCCCCTTGTAGAGTATCCTGAACTATTTGCGCCCCGCTTTTGCGCACGGGTTGGGTACGTCGCCAGGGTATTTTTGAAAAAAACTATTTTTGAATGTTCCTCCTGTAGAGGGACAGGCCCGATTTCAGTCAAGGGGGAAGGATCCAGACCCCCGACGTCGTGATTTTTGTACATGGCGCGATCCCCAAGAGGTCCGGACCTCTTCCCCAGGACCGTGTTTTTACGACGACATGAAGAGCCAATGTTTTCACACGGTGTGTGATTGTACTGGTGGACGCTATCACGAGTGTGGGAGTCGGCAATACTACCCACTACCTAATGCTCCGAAGGCATCGGGCAGCACAGTCGGGCTCGCCGAAGGGTTACAGTCTGAGCTCGTCGCTGCAGCGCTCATCCTGAACCATTTTCTGACGATCCCGAGGCCCCGTAAGGACCCCTCTTGCCGAGCATAACGAAACAAAAAAACCTCCTGTGCGGATTGCTTCATGGCCCGAGGGAGTCTGCGACAGGAGTTATAAGCAGGTGTGGGCAGGAGCAGAAATCGTAAGCGTTTCGACATTGGGCGGAAGGGGGGGGGAAGGAGGGGGAGGGTCTGGCTCCAGACCTATGTTTAATGCGACTGTTTGCAGCAGTGCGTCTTGTGGGGGAGGCTCCACCCGCTCGAAACAGGCGCCAAAAAACAGCCAAGATTCCATGGGGGGAGGGGGAAGGGGGGGTGCGAAGGCCCGCGCCAGTCGGCAAAACAATGAATCCAAAAATGATCACGTGTGGGCAGGAACAGAAAATAGATGGCAAAACCAGACGGGCGGGCCGGTGGACCCCAACGGGCGGGCTGGGCGGGCGCGCTCAGGCGGCCGGGTCGAGCGGGCGGGTCGCGGAAGCGTCCGCCGGCAGGCAAGTCGCGAGGACGTCGCGAGCGATCGCGCGATTCCCAAGGAAGTCCTCCTCCTCCTCCTCCTCCTCCTCCTCCTCCTCCTTCTCATCTCCTCCTCCTCCTCATCTCCTCCTCCTCCTTCACCTCCTCCTCCTCCACGTCCTCCACGTCCTCCTCCTCCTCCTCCTCCTCCTCCTCCTTCCTCCTCCTCCGTCGTCCTCCTCGTCCTCCTCGTCCTCCTCGTCCTCGTCCTCGTCCTCGTCCTCCTCCTCCTCCTCTGAGGACGTTCACGGCGAGAGCATGACTCCTGAGTGTCGAGGGCGCGACGTTTCAGTAGGATTGTAAGAAAATTCAACGCGAGAGCGCGATCCCTGCACAAATCGAGAGCACGATGTTGAGTGAATCGGAGGCGAGCGACGGGGGAAATGTGAAGGAGAAGGCATTCTGAGAAGGCGGCTGGACTTCTCAGAAGCCCTCGCGTCTTCTGAGAAGTGTTTGCTTGTCTTCGGGGAAGACTTAGAAAACTTCGCAGAAGACCGGGGAGACTTCTGAAATTCGGCCCGAGCTCCCGCTGCGAAAATCTCATGAAAACTGGGCCGTCGAAACCCAGGACGGGCTCGTCAAAACGTTTCCTCAACATGAACCTCACGTTTCCCCGAAACTGACCAACGGCTTCTAGCAGCTCCGCGCCGGGTGGCACCGACCGCGCGACCTCAGAGCCGAAGCGAGTGGTCCGTTGGCGGCGCGCACATGGAGGTAATTTGGGGGAGGGGGGAAGGCTTCTTAGAAGGAGGCTGCCTCTTACAAGGCGCGGACCTTGCTTCTATAGACAAGGGCCGCGCGCGCCTTCTACGAAGCAGCCTCTTTCTGAAAAGCCTGCCCCCTCCCTGACCCCCTCTGCGCGTGGCCGAGTCCTGGCGGCGCAGCCAGCGGCGGGGCCAAAGGCGGAACCTAGAAACCTCCTAGATGGGGTCGGCGTTCATGGGGTCGGAGGATCGCGCTGCATCGCCGATACATCGGCGATGCATCGGCGATGCATCGGTGATGCACCGGCGATGCATGGTCGACGTCGGCGATGCATCGGCGACGTCGATGTGAAGCAAATGGGTCGGGCTGCACATCGAGCCGCATCGGCGATACATCGGCGATGCGGCTTGATCCTCCGAAACCATCTACTCGGACCCCATCTAGGAGGCCTAGAATAGACGAGCGCGTTCCACTACTCGCAAAGTAGCTACTCGCAAATGGCCTGGATCCGCCGCGGGGGATCTACGAGAAATTACATCGAAGCAGAGATGTGTGTTTTCGGAGATTTGCGAGTAGGCACTTGTCGAGTAGTGGAACGCGCTCGGTGATAGAAGAACGCGCTCTTTCCGAGGCCACGTTTCTCTCGGGCCCCCAACCAGGAAGCATCGAGACCTAGAGAACCGGCACGAGAGGCCTGCGGCGCAACTCCCTCGAGATGGCGCCCGCCCAACTCTTGAGGCCGCCCTCCGCGCCCTTGCCCTCGGCGGCTCCTGCTGCCGGCGGCGCGGCCGCCGCTGCTCCGGCGCCTGCGGCGCCTTCTGCGGCCGGCGTCGGGGCCGCCGCGGGCCCGAGGCAGCCCTCTTCGTCGAGGCACTGGCGGCGCTTCCGCACGCCCAGCTCCCAACGCGAGCCCGCCGGCCGCCGGGCGACGGCGGCCCTCTGCTCCCAGTACGCCTCGGACCGGAGGCGCCTGAGCGGGGCCTCCTCCGAAGCTGGCATCGCAGAGCCCCTCCGGGGGCGGTGGCCTCTGAGGGGCACCGTCTCGAAGGGCGCCAACTCGAGGAGCGCCGGCGCGTCGCCGTCCTTCTGCAGCGCAGCGGCGCCCCAGCTCTCCTCGTGCGCGTCGTCGCCCTGGTCGTCGAAGGGGGGAAGCTCTGCCGTTGGGCACCGCGTGAGGGCCGAGCTGGCATAGCGGTCGGGGTTCGACACCTTCCCCTTCTCCTGCTCGGAGAGAGGCGCCTCAGTTTCCTGAGACAGCGCGCGAGCGGTGAACATGGTTCGCGGGGTGCTTCCTGGCATTGAAGGATAAAAAAACGATAAAAACCTGACCCTGGGTTACAAGTGCGTGGTCTGTAAGCATCCTGGGAGCTCCCACATGCCAGAGAGCCGCCAGGACGCCGCGCGACACGCGGGATACGCATGGTTAACCCTGACAGCCCACAGGAGGTTCAGCGCACAGCGCCTCGTAAACCAGGGTAGGGACTTTGTGTTATGCCTTTGATGGTAGGCGATAGCAACTACACACTGCAAACGTCGAGACACCCCCTGAGCCAAAGGCAAATAGCGATGCAGTTGCACGAAGCGGAGTGTCCTCAGGTCCGTTCGGCTTTCCTGTGTGTCGAATGTGCTGAGACATGCAATCGAAACGCTGTCATAAGGAGACCAAATTAAGGAACGAGGCCCCTTCTTGTTGCAAAAGTTCTCATTCGATTTCCCGTAGCAATCAATCCAGAGGGCAACCCGAGACAACCTGTAAAACACTTGAGGGACACTGAGCCCCTCCCCAACGGGAAGGGTTCCTTCCTCAGCGGCCCGACTGCACTTAGGTGCCCGAGCCCTGGATTCCAAAACGGCCTTGACGCCCCCCCTGGCGTTTCGGGGCGTTCTCGGGCGCTCTTGGGCTGCATCGCGTGACTTCGCCAAGACCGCCTCGGGGGAAGTGCTCGCATGGCGCCCCCGCGCCCACTCTGGCACACACCTCACACGCTTCGTGCTTCCACAGGAAGCTCAACCCATGGCCCCAGTGGGCGTGCTCGCATTTCGTCTCCGCGCTCGTTCCGGACCCACACCCTCACACCTTTCGTGCCCCACAGGGAGCTCCACGTCTGGCCCAAGTGGGCGTGCTCGCATGGTGCCTCCTCGCACACTTCGACACACACCTCACACGATTCGTGCCCCCGCAGGGAGCTCAACCCATGGCCCCAGTGGGCGTGCTGGCATGGCGTCTCCGCGCTCGTTCCGGACCCACACCCTCACACCTTTCGTGCCCCACAGGGAGCTCCACGTCTGGCCCAAGTGGGCGTGCTCGCATGGTGTCCCCGCGACCATTTGGGTTGTTTCTTCTCCGGGCAAATTGCAATGATTTTCCTGTCCCTGCCTTTCGGGCTTCCAACAGCCCCAGGTCTAATCTGAAACCCGCGTCCAGCCGAACTGTGCATTCCCAATGAGCCTACCTTCAAACAGATTGCGCCGATGCGCCAGACAATCTGCGCCCTACCGTTGGCATTCCTCCGCTCAGCTCACCTTCCAAAAGTAGGGTTGTAGCAGGCGACCCACGCTGCACCACAAAATCTACGCCCTACCGAAATACGATGCCCTCGCTCTCTCCCTTCCAGCAGTTGTGCCACAAGCTGCACCAGAGGCCCCAAGAAGCCCCAAAGAGGCCCACAGAGCCCCAAGACGCTCCCAAGAGGCCTTGTAGAGGCCCCTAAGAAGCTTTAAAACTCTAAAGCTGCCACACCAGAGGCCCCCCGATAGCGTTCCGAAGAGACCCCAAGAAGCATCTCTAAGGCCTCTGACCCACAACCCAGGCACGGTGGCGGGATGGGCCGAAGGCCATGAGATCCGCCGCCCCCTGTGGTCTTGCCACAGGGGTGCACGGCGTGCTGGATGTTTCAAGTTTTGGTTTTGGTTCTTTTTCTAAAAGAAGTCCCCAGTGGGCTTCGGCCCGTCCCGCCGGCCACCCGTAATTTTCCCAAAATCCGTCTGTCAATGCCTTTGTTGCCCCAACTTGGCCCAAGATGGCCTCCAAGACGGCCAAGATGGCCCAAGATGGCCTCCAAGATGCCTCCCAGACGGCCAAGATGGCCTCCAAGACGGGTAAGATGGCTCCAAGATGCCTCCAAGACGGCCCAAGATGCCCTCCAAGACGGCCAAGATGGCCCCAAGATGCCTCCAAGATGGCCCAAGAGGCCTCCAAGACGTTCTCCAGGAGAGCCCGAAGAGGCCAAAATCATTGGTTTTCCGTAGGTTTTTGAAGGTTTTTTGCGTTTTCTTCTTTTCGGCCTTCCGACGGCCCAAGAGGCCCCCAAGATCGCCCAAGAGGCCTCCAAGAAAGCCCTATGACGGCCCAAGGGCCCCCCAAGACGGCCCCAAGAGCGCCCCAAGACGGCCCAAGAGGCCTCCAAGACGCCCAACATGGCCTCCAAGACGGCCCTCTTGAGCCGCCCCAAGAGGGCCCCAAGACGGCCCAGAGAGGCCCCCAAGACGGCTCCAGACGGAGTCAGACGGACCAGGAACGCCCTAAAGACGGCCAGAGAGACCCCCAGGAAGCCCCCAAAGGCCCCCAAGAGGCCCAAGGAGGCCCCCAAGATGCCTCCAAGAGGCCTCGAAGAGGCCCCCAAGAAGCCCCCAACAGACCCCAAGGGTGCCCCAAGAGACTCCTAACAACCCTCATCCTCCTAATCTATTTCTTCCTCTTCCTCTTCCTGTTCATAATCATTCTCTCCCATGTGTTCCCCGAAAGCTTTCCAAACCGACTCGGGGAACTCATGGTCCGATAGCTTGGACAAGCTCTAGTCCAACTTTCGGCCACATCGGCGTTTCCAAAAAGGCAGGGGGCGGCGGTGATTCGCCGTAGGCGTCTTCGATCCGCCGCCCCCTGTCGATTCATCGCAGGGGTGCCTGGCGTGCTGAACCCTCTCGGTTTTGGTTTTGGTCCCTTTTCCAAAAGAACTCCCCCGGGGGCTCCGGCCCGTCCCGCCGGCCACCCGGAAGGATGCCGAAAATTTGCCCAGAGGTGGTTGCAAAGGGTTTTTCCGTTCCAGACGGCTCCAAGATGGCACAAGATGACCTCCAAGACGCCTCCAAGAGGGCCAAAATGGCCTCCAAGACGGCGAAGATGGCCCCAAGATGCCTCCAAGACGGCCCAAGATGCACCCAAGACAGCCTAAGATGGCCTTAAGATTGCCCAAAACGGCCCAAGAGGCTCCCGAGAGGCCACCAGGACGGCCCAAGAGGCCTCCAAGAGGTCCTCCAGGAAGGCCCGAAGAGGCCAAAATCATTGATTTCCCATGAGTTTTTGAAGGATGTTGGTATTTGCGCCTTTTCGGCTTTCCGACGGCCCAAGACGGCCCAAGAGGCCCCCAAGGGTCGCACCAAGATCGCCCAAGAGGCCTCCAAGATGGCCCCATGACGGCTCAAAAGGCCCCCAAGACGGCCCCAAGAGGGCCCAAAGAGGCCTCCAAGACGCCCAAAATGGCCTCTAAGACGGCCCCGAAGCGCCCCAAGAAGGCTCCAAGTCGGCCCGGAGAGGCCCCCAAGACGGCTCCCGACAGCGTCAGACGTGCCAGGAGCCCACCAAGACAGCCGAAAATGGCCTTAAGATGGCCCGAGACGGCCCAAGAGGCCTCCAAGAGGGCCTCCAGGAACGCCCGAAAAGGCCAAAATCATTAATTTCCCAAAGTTTTGGAAGGATTGTGGCATTTGCTTGTTTCGGCCTTCCGACGGCCCGAGACGGCCCAAGTGCCCCCAAAGATCACCCAATAGGCCCCAAGAGGCCCCCAAGACGGCCCAAGAGGCCTCCAAGACGTTCAAGATCAAGACGGCCCAAGAACCCTCAAAGACGTCCTCCAAGAAGGCCCGAACGGGTCAAAATGGCCTCCAGACGGCCAAGATGACCTTCAAGATGCCCACGTGTTCCCCGAAGGCTTTCCAAACCGATTCGGGGAACACATGGTCCGATAGCTTGGCAGGTCTGGCCTCAACGTTCGGCCAGATAGGCGCCTCCCAAAAGGCTGGGGGCGGCGGTGATTCGCCGTAGGCGTCTTCGATCCGCCGCCCCCTGTCGCTTGCAACAATAGTGCCTGGCGTACCAAATTATATGGCTTCTGGAGCTGGTCTTTTTTCCAAAAGAACTCCCCCTGGGGCTTCGGCCCGTCCCGCCGGGTCCCGGGAGATTCCCGAACATGCATCCGTCCATGCCTTTGTTGCCCCAAGTTGGCCCAAGATGGCCTCCAAGACTGCCAAAATGGCCCAGGATGGCCTCCAAGATGGCTCCAAGACAGCCAAGATGGCCTCAAAGACGGCTACGATGGCTCCGAGATGCATCCAAGACGGCCCAAAATGGCCTACGACGGCCCAGAAGGCCCGCAAGAGGCCTCCAAGACGGCCCAAGGGCATCCAAGAGGTCCTCCTGGAAGGCCCGACGACGCCAAAATCATTGATTTCCCCCCACATGCTTAGTGGGGTTTGGGTTTTCTTCTCTTCCTCGTCGCACCCGCGTTTCCCGCACCTCCCTCCTCTCCTTCTCACACAACGCAGCACAGCGCAGCACAGTACAGCACAACACTGCTCAGCCCAGCACAGCACAGCACAACACAAGGGATGCGCACGGTGTGGTTCCTGAGTGCGGCCGCTATCCGTGACGGTCGCCCAGGCACAGCAGGCATGGCGTTTTCTCGACACCACACGGGGTGCGCACGGGGTGGTCCCTGAGCGCGGCCGCTATCCGTGACGGCCGCACAGGGCACAGCAGGCGTGGCGTTTTCTCGACACCACAGGCGGTGCCCACGGGGTGGTCCCTGAGCGCGGCCGCTATCCGTGACGGTCGTCCAGGGCACCGCAGGCGTGGCGTTTTCTCGACACCACAGGGGGTGCGCACGGGGTGGTCCCTGAGCGCGGCCGCTATCCGTGACGGTCGTCCAACGCACAACACGCGTGGCGATTTCTCGACACCACACGGGGTGCGCACGGGGTGGATCTAGCAACGCAGCGGAATCGTTGACGGCCGCCCAGGGCACAACAGGCGTGGCGTGTTCTCAACACCACAAAAAGTGCGCACGGGGTGGTCCCTGATCGCGGCCGCTATCCGTGACGGTCGTCCAATGCACAGCACGCGTGGCGTTTTCCCCACACCACATGGGATGCGCACGGGGTGGTCCCTGAGCGCGGCCGCTATCCGTGACGGTCGTCCGGGGCACAGCACGCGTGGCGTTTTCTCGACACCACAAGCGGTGCCCACGGGGAGGTCCCTGAGCGCGGCCGCTATCCGTGAGGCCACCTGTGGGCACAGAAGCGTTCGACCGACCTTACACGAGCCGCATGGATGCACACCCCACCACACCCCCCCCCCCCACCCCCCCCCATCCCCCACCCCCCCCCCCCCCCCCCCCCCCCCCCCCCCCCCCCACCTAAAGATCCCACGGCGCCCGCGCTTTATTCCAGATCGGTTTATTTTCGATTATTTTATTTTTATTTTTTTACATTTCTATTTTTTCGCTCTCTGTGGGTCCCTGAGCGCGGCCGCTATCCGTGACGGTCGTCCAGGGCACAGCA